CAACCATTTAAAGATATATAATACATATAAAATCTATATAATTATTGTATTTTTTATGTATACCGATTATAATAAGTAAACAGTAAATTCGGCTAACTATTTATATAAAGATCTTTTTTTTAAGAAATCCACCAGCTAACAACAGTCTTCAATATAAGAACTGTAACCTTATAAGATTCTCTTTTTAAAAATAAAAAATAAATCTGCAGAATGTTTGTTGTGTTGTCTAACATTCTCACAACATTACAAATAATGATAAAAAGAAAATTAGAATTTATTATTATGCACTCGAACATTCTCGTTCAATGAACTGAAATAATAAATTCGTGTTAAGATTTTTTATTATTCTGTTGGTCAATTGATGGTAGGGACCTGCCCTAAGGTTAAGGTCTAAGGCAACAACTTCTTAACCTAGTGATTAAAATTAGAACTTGTCCCATGGATTATAATGTAGTATATTCTTCTCATTTTTCATTTTTTAATATGAATATGTAAATACTCTGTTTATATTGCATACCAACCGGATAAATACAAAGAAAAATAGTCCGCCCATTAGGCAGTTTGTCTCCGTTCTTTTGCATTATATCTACCAAAAATACAGGAATTAGCGACGGTAGCTAAACATCAAAATATGTTGCTAATCTTAATTAGCGATGGATTAACGATATCAAAAAATTATGTTAGCTACGATCAATTTCGCGAATGAATTATATAGCTTAATATATATGATTTTTTTTTTAGATGTTATTGTCTAATTATGTATTTGACATAGAGCTTATGAGCTTTTAAAAATTTATGGACGCACCCTTTCAAACTTCTATACGCAATACTCTTGATATTGAAATTAAACCGATTATGACAAGTTATTGCTATTTTTTTCCGGATTACTTGAATCGGTATCATAGAAAAAAAAATTATGTTTTATTGTAGGTTAACTTAACTAATGATATAAACTTATGCATTATCGGGAAACAAAACTTAAACACATAAATATACTACAGAACAACATTCAGAAAACTAATTAATTTTCCATAAATAAAATTTCTTTCAATATGCATGTTGGTTGGAATCTTGTAACTATCAGACCCATCAATTCTACAACAAGCTATTTTCCAGACTTTTTATTTTGTAGAAGTAACGAGTTGTTCCAAAAGGATCAAAACGACTTATTAATGAAATTCCTAGTCGAAATGTAAGTATTTTCCATCAACATCAGTCATTTGAGTAGAGATAGTCTACGCTTCACAATTAATCTTCAGTTCAGTTCTTTTAAAGCATTTTAGGACCATATTTAAAACCAATTTAAATACATGCATATTGCCCATATTGCTATACTAAATATTTGCACGCCATTTTGGACCACGTTATCTTACCCATTCACATATAATTATGCATCGTTTTTCCAATGCTTATCCTCTACTTTAAAAGAAAGAAAAAGGGACCTAGGAGAGGGAAGTTTGAATATTAATTCGACTGAGTTTGAACAATTTAATTGTATTTATAAGTTATAAAGAGGATACAAACGTAGAAAATTATTACGATTGAGACAATGCAAGAATGTCATCTTTTCCTTCTATTCATCAGATTTTAGGCTTTGACCTTTGAAAGGTATTTCTTATGTCCCCGTGTTATATACGACATTTGACTGAATACGAAGTTGTCTACTCTTTTCTAAAATAAGACATACGAATTTGGTTGCTAGAAGCAAATCCAAGATTTATGTTACTAGATTCAGAATGAGTATAGTCTTATTATAATATTTTTTTTTGTTTTTGTTTTTTGTATACGTATAAATAGTTCTAGTCGGGAGCAATGTGTTCACTTGAACCTAGGTGATCGCAATCCATTTTAGATCTGCCTCTGATGGAAAATTCTAGCAAAAAATGATATAGATTGATGCACATGAACATTAAGATTTTTTGGTCCTAGTACCAAATCGGCAAAAGTATGGTGGAAATGATGTCTAGGTAGCCATTTTTAAGTATGTGGTTTAAAATATATCCATAGTTTATAATGTATTTAAAGATTAACTAATTCACTCAAACTTTAGGACATTGAATCCTAAAGTTTAAATATTATATCTAGAAATTAGAATTTTATGTCCTAAATTTAAACGTAAAAATAGCACGGGCTAGCCAGTTTTCGGACTGGTAATTAAAAAATAGCCAGCGTTTGCAAAGTCATTGAAAAATAGCCACTATTTTGATGCAACACGGACCGGTCCAGCATAATATACTGGAGATTGGTGCACCTGTGTATGAAATTCCAGCATATTATGCTGGAACTCCAATACGCGGAAAGTTCTAGCATAATATACTCGAGATTGGAGCACATGTGTATGAACTTCCAGGATATTATACTTGAGTTCCAGTATAAATATGCTGGAGTTCTAGTATATTATACTGAAGTTCCAGTATATTATACTGGAGTTCCAGTATAATATACAGGAACTCCAATATATTATGCTGGAATATTTTCCGGATTTTGAACAATATTTTCGTTCAGATTTATCTTTGCATGAAAAGTGGCTAAATTTCGATTACTTTTGAAACTGTGACTATTTTTCAATTACCACTTGTAAATCTGACTATTTTTGAATTTCTCTAGTAGTTCAGAAATTCAGGATATTGTGTCTTAAAGTTGGAATATTGTATCCAGAAATTAGAATTTTATGTCCTGAATTTAAATTAGCAGTTCAGAATTTTAGGACACTTAATCTTGAATTTCAAATTAAGAGTTCATAAGTTCAGGACACTTAATCTTGAATTTCAAATTAAGAGTTCATAAGTTCAGGACACTTAATCTTGAATTTTAAATTAACAGCTCAAAAATTTAGGACAATAAATCCTAAATTTTAAATTAGCTGCTAAAAAATTTAGGATACAAAACTTCAGGATACTTAGTTCGGAAGTTTGGGCAAATTAACTAATCTGTAAATATATTATAATTTTTAATTATATTTTAAATAGCATGCTTAAAAGTGACTACTAGTGCACTCACCCAAAAGTATGGAAATTTTGATAGCCTTATGCCTCATTTTCTTTCTAATATAAGCTCGTGTAGTGGCTTAAAATAACTTTCAATTTAGACGTGGTCCTCTCTATTAATTCATATAGAATTTGGAATATATTATGGTGGAAATGACATTAGGTATCCACTTTTAACCATGCTATTTAAAATATATCCATATTTTATAATAAATTTAAAGATTAGTCAATTTCGCTCAAATTTCAGGACACGACGTCCTAGAGTATAAACCTCAAAGGTCAAACTTCAAGATATCGTGTCCTAAAGTTCAAAAATTATGTCCACAAGTTCGAATCTTATGCCATGAATTTTAAATTAGTAGTTCAGAAATTCAGGATAATTAGTCTTGAATTTCAAATTAGCGGCTCAAAGATTCAAGACACTAAGTCTTGAATTTTCAAATTCAGGATACTTAGTCCTGAAGTTTGGGTGAATTAGCTAATCTTTAAATACATTATAAATTGTAGATATATTTTAAATAGCGGGCTTAAAGTCGCTATTGTTACATTTCCCTATATTATGCATTGCTTGTGTATTTGAAACTTTTAACAGACCAGTGTCCTGTTAGTTGATCTACTTTTTTACTATTCAAAAGTAGAATTTACGTATTCATTTCATCAGTGCCAACAGCTTGCTATGCCCCAAAAAAGAAAATTAAATTAAGGGTATTTGATGATATAAAATAGGAGAAGAAGGGCATGGCAATATACTATTGTCACGCTATGACGAAAGGCGGGCTGATGAGGGTATCTCAAGGAGAGAGACTAGGAAGATCTTGAGCTATCGAGCTTCCGAAGAAGGGGTAAATATGATATTTTAGGCAAATCTTAAATCGAGAAAAGAAAAAAAAGTCAAGTGCTATATAAGACATAGTAATAAAGTTCGCATTTTTTACTAGCTTACTGCTGATCAAACGGAGATTTATATTTTTTGACTACTAGTGTTTTTCTTTAACATATTGCACCACAAAATGGGCTTTCTCCAAATTCTAAAACAAACATCAAATTTAGGCCCATTTCCCCACAAGTCTATTGATCTGCAAAACTGGGCCAAGCATGTAAAAATCAGGAATAGCCTAATTTACAACTGTTACTTAAAAGATAGTCATAGTTTAAAAAATAATCGAAATTTAGGTACTTTTTCATGTAAAAATAAAATTTGAACAAAGATACTCTTAAAAATCCGGAAATATTCCAGCATAATATGCTGAACTTCGTATTTCCTACATATGAGATTCCAACATAATGTGCTAGAGTTCCGATATAATATGCTGGACGTTTACACATAGAAGCTCCATAATCTAGAATATTATGCTTTAACTTCCCGTGTTTCATCAAAATATGACTATTTTTCAATGACTTTACAAATGTTGACTATTTTTAATCACTAGTCCAAAAACTAAATAGCCCAGTGCTATTTTAATGCAAAGCTGGGCCAAGCACCTATAGTGGACTATTCTTTCAAGAAGAATTAACCCAAATAGCCGCTCACCCAACCACTTAAACTAAAAATAGCCGGTGGAAGTGTAATATATGTATAATTTATGTATTAGATGTGTATAATTATGTATAATCCATGTATAAACTATATATATGGCTAGAAAAAGTAAATAATGAATATAAACGGCTATTTGTGTAAAAATCCCTTCTTTCAAAACACTGGATCAGCAATGATATATAGTCCCGGCCAGACGATAGCCTTAAGAGAAATTTATTTTTTCCAAAAAAAAAAAAAAAACAAAA